TCACATCACCCCAGCCCTGTGCATTGTTCCTTCACACAGCTACTGGTTGCCCTCTCTCTCCTCTATTTTTCATAGTTTAAAGTCTTCCTTAAGAGGTCTTAAAAGTCTTCCCTTGCCATCCATTCTATTGGCAAAAATGTCTTTGCCCTGCTTAGAAAAGATGCACCCCATCTCTCCATGGCAGACACCGGTCCTCAAACTGGATCCAGTTGTCATCAATACCAGTTCAGCAGCCAATTGTTGAGCTGTCCTACCAGTGCCGTCCTTTTCACACCTTTCCCCTCACCGTCAAGATTGAGGGGAATAGCACCTGGGTCCCTGTGCACTTGACTACTGCCCTCAGAGCTCTGTAGTCCATTTTGATACTGCCCAGGTTTCCCCTAGCAGTATCATGTGTGCCCATTTTTGGCAATGAACAGATGGTTCTCCTGATCTCCATGAGCTTTCCAAGATGGTACAGAATGGTCTGTGTGTCATTGATCTGTTCTTATATCACCCTTGGATGCAGCCCTTCCAGACCATGGTCTCCTCATGGCTGAGTGCTCAAGTAGCCCCTGAATTGATCCTCATCCACTGCATTTTTCTCTTCCTTGAGTCTTCTGTGTAAGAACAAAAGCCTAAAGGACCTGGCTGGTAAAGACTGACCTATCTGCATCTCCCCCTGCTACATTCTGCATCCCATCTAGCAGTGCACCCACATTTTCTTTGTTTCCTCTTTTACTGTAAAAGAAACACTAGCAGCTCATATGCACACCATGGATGTCCTTTGCAAGTGCCAGCTCTAGGAGAGCTTTGGCTTTCCAAATTCTGTGCTCAAACAGTGGTTCTCAGTTCCTCTTTTTCAGCTGTTCCCTGCATCCACCTCCTATAGATTGCCCTTTTGCACTGGAGCTCAGTCATGAGTTTCCTGTTTAGCCAAAAGCTGTCTCTGGAGATGAAGGCTGTCAGTATCTTAACAAATGCACCAGAGTGCTTATTAAAACACACACACACACACACACACACAAAAAAAAAAAAAAAAAAAAAAAAAAGTCCTAATTAGCTACGACTCTGCCCATAATTGCCTTCAAGTCCTGTGTGGCCAATTGGAGAAATATCAGGAGAGTAGCTAAAAAGGGAAGATATCAATGCATATACAAACCAAAACCAAAACAAGCAAACAAATAAACAAAAACACTTCTCTGTCTTTGTTAAATATCTTTATTTTACAACTTAAAGAATAAGCAATACCAGCTTTCTATAATTGTTATTGATTCATAGTATCTCCTGCTGAATTCTGAATGTGGAGGAAAAGGAGGACCCTCGCCACTGGACAATGTATGGGCACTCTTTAGCCACCCCTTCACCCCACTTTTATCATCCACCTGCAACTCAGAGAACTCTCTCACATCTGTGCATTTTCTACTGCAGTCCATAGCTGAGAGTTACAGCTCTATATGCCTGTTCTTACCTTACTTAGAGAACTACCTGCACACAGAAGGATTTCTCTTGGCTGTGAATGAACAAGGAGAAAACATGGTATAGCTGAATAAAATGTAAGGTGCATTCCTCAATGGTACATGAGGTACAAATTGTCTCCATGGAAGGCCACTTTCCATGGGGAATAACAGTACTGGAAATGTTTTAGAGGTGGGAAGAGGAGAGGAGAGGCAAGATGAGGCGAGGTGACGAGAGGAGAGAGACCTCATTGCATCCTTTTAGTAATCAAAGGTAGTTTGTAAAAAAGATGGAAAGTGATTTTTCACATGGGCAGATAGTGACAGACACCCAGCCTCCTGGTGCCTCCTTGCAGCCCAAAGCAAATGCCTCTAAAGCTCTGCCCGAGCAGGACGAGTTGTAGGTACAAATGTGTCCATGTGCAGGGCTGGGGCGAGGAAGATGCAGGAAGAGTCTAAGGTAAAGAAACAGAGACCTTTTCACTGCTGTATTTCATTATGCGGAATCCAGATTAGAGAAGTGTTAGTGAAGACTGGAACAGCCCTGACATGGATAAGAGGCAGGATAACGCACAGAAGCAGGTCCTCTGGTACATCCCTCTAAATATGGAGGGTAGCTCCCCTTCTGCAGTGCCCTTCCTACTTCCACAGCAGCACCTGGAGGACAGCGAGTCCTTGACATGCTCCTGTGTGGGACAGAAGTTGGCTTTTGAGGCTGTGGTCTTGGGTGAGAAGTCCTTTCCACCCAAGAAGGTATGTTAGTCGCTCAATGAGATTTGAGCATGGGACATAAAAGACGTGGGTGGCAGAAGTCTAAAGGTTTTATCTGATGTTTTGCTCTGCCTCTTCACGCTGGACAGTCTCTCCTTCCTCCCCGAGAATACTGAGATGCCCATGCAAATGGCTGTAAATAACACAGGGGAATCTGCTGCCACATCAGAGACCACCTACCCCACTGGATCTTGCAAGTGTTAAAAGGAGGCAGCTTCCTCATCTGTTTTCACAGAATGACAGAGCCACGGAATGGTTGAGGTTGGAAGGGACCTCTGGAGGTCATCTGGTCCAACCCTGCTGCTCTAGCACCAGCACCTAGAGCAGGTTTCCCAGGACCATGTCCGCACGGCTTTTGAAGATCTCCCAGGAGGAGACTCCAGCACCTCTCTGGGTAACCTGTTGCAGTACTCCACTACCCACACAGCACAGAAACACTTCCTGACATATACACAGAACCTCTTTTGTTGCAGTTTGTGCCCAGTGCCTCTTCTCCAGGCACTGGGCACCAATGAAAAGAGCCTGGAATCTGTGTTCTCTGCACTCTCTTCAGGTATTTAAGGACATTGATAGGAGCCTCCTTTTCTCCAGTCTGAGCAGCCCCCACTCCCTCAGCCTCTCCTCCTCATAGGAGAGGTGCTCCAGTCCCTCAATCACCTTGGTGGCCCTACATGGGGCTTGTTCCAGTATAGCCACATTTCTCTTTTGAATTTGATAGGGGAACAGTGTCAAAGGTCTTTCTGAAGTCCAGGCTTTTCTTTGGTGAAAGAATTTCAGAAAACAATCATAGAATGCCTTGTGATTGGCATATCACCATGCAAAGACCAGGAAAATTTCCATTTTCAGGAAGCTGTAAATAGGCATCCATAAGCAAGAAAATGGTTGTAGGTGGCCAGAGAAACAGAAGGCCAAATGCTAAGGTATGTCCAGAACAGCACCTTCCACAATAATTATAGTGAATTAAAGCAAATCTCAAAATTAGGATGAAACTTTACTTGATGAAGTAGGAAATGGACTATGAGATGGATATGAAATTCGATGTTACAGGAAAAGGACAGTACCAGAAACAAGGACAGCATCTTGGTCCCTGCTTCGAGGGCAGATCTCTCCCAGGGCCAAGCTGTAGCTGTTTGGTCCCAAGGGTAAATGAGATGTGTGTCTGAGTGCCCACCACTGCCATCAGTGTCTGCCCTTTGCAGCAATGCCAGTGTTAAGAAGGGAGGATGTGAGTTTTATAGTCCTAAAGTCCATATAAAATGCAATACAAAGACAGTCGGTGCCTGTTTAGAGCTAGATTGACCAACCTGTGCCTTGCACTGGATTTCTGTGCAGGCAGAAACCAAAGTAGAAAGCTGTTTAAAAAACAAATAACAAAGAAATAAATCATCAAACTACAACAAAAACTACCAACATGTGCTATGCCACGTTTATTTCTATGGATGTAAAGGATAAATATTTCCGTCTGAATCACCTTTCATCTCTGCTGGGAAGCACAGGCACAAGCAGCACAGGAGCACTCGTGGCTGCTCCAGCAGAGGCCTGGTGCAATGGGAACTCTAGCTGGTAATGTCTGTTTCTCAGGGGGTTCTTCAGGTGGTTCTGCTGAGCTTGACGTTTTAAAGCCAGCTATAAGCAGTGACATGGCCAAGCTCTGGCATGCAATCAGCCAGGCACAAAGTGGAACGTGCCAACATGGCCAGAGCCCTACTCCTACCTCCCCATGCTCCAGCCCCTGTCCACCTGTCCAAAAGGCCAAGGGCAGACCTATCCTTCAGATCTGAGCTCAGCAGGCTCCTGGACTTTCTTTTTAAACAGAGTCCTGTCAGATTTGCACAAAGCAGACTGAATTTTCCAGGGCAGCACTGGCACACCTCTGTCCAAAGCTCCTCTTCTCCTGACTATGCTCACTGCCTGTCGGTATCAGGCTACTTTGATGGGTTTTTCTCTCTTTCTTATCCTTCCCTTCTGAGATCTGTCTCACCAAGGGTTCCTGTGCACTGATGGGATGAAATGGGGAGACAACAACCCCACACAACCTTCCTGACATCTTTCTGTGCATTTCTTTTTGTACATCATTGTCTTGGTCCCTATGAAATCAGTGTAGTGTTTCATATCCTGGATGTTAGACCCTGGAAGTCTGCCTGTTCCTCAAGCTATGGCTGGGCCAACAAATATATCTACTGGTCTGTGCAAAGTACAATGACTTTTACCCAGTATTTGTTTGTTGGTTTGTTTTGTTTTTTTTCCTTAGTTCTGTTGAAAGCACATTCAAGTGGTGTCCTCTCACTTGCAGTAACAATCATGCACAAATGTGCTACTACTGAGCAACACTTCCTTCATTTTTCATTCTGAGTACAGAAGAGCACTGGTAAGTTAATTACTTATTACAAAGCTATTAATTAAAGCAAGTGGATTCAGAGATGTCCCTGTCTTGTGTCTGGAGCCCTGGGAGAGAACACAGTCCTGCTGAAGTTACACGTATGTCATGGGGGGAGAAATTATGCCTGAAAATCAGTGTTCAGAAAAAACGAGGTATTTTATGATTTTGCACCTATCCAGATGTAGGAAAACTGTTTAAATGCTTGCTTGTTTTTGCATAAACAGGAGTGCAAATACCTGGAGAAATAAATAAATAAATAAATAAATAAATAAATAAATATTTTTATCTCAAACAAAATCCTTATACTCTAAAACTACCTTTTTAAATCCACACCTAAATTCCTTAGAGAAGGGAGTTTTTCAAAACAGCAGAATAGTAAAACGTGTTTGTCTTCAAGCGAGCACTTATGAGTTTGCAAATTGTCAAAAGCTGAACAAGACAAAAGGGAATCAGTCCAAAGCCTTCTCAGGCCAGCTTCACAGTCAGCACCAGAAGAGACAAAGTCATGCTTAGAGGATCAGTCAGAGTGCCTATGGTGGGGACAAGAGCCTACTGCACCAGGTCTCAGACAGTCACCTGCTGCTCCTCAAGAAGTGGCTCGTGTCTCCCCTGGGAGTGTTGAGAGCTTTGTCCACTCTTGCTTCTGCATGACGCTGAATTTTCAGCATTAAAAGTTACACCTAGGTGCTCCAGCCAAGCCTTGCAGTGCAGCCTGTGATGCCCAGTGAGTGCAAAAGGTGTCACATCTGCAGGAATGAATCATTTGCCTGGAAAAAAAGTATGGCTATTCTTTCGAAAGCAGCAAGGAACTACCAAAGGAAAATAAATAAATAAAAATTAGCAATAATCACTCCTGTAACTGAAACTAGATCCTGGACAAATATTTGCATTCCTGATGATGAAGCTTTTCTTCAGAGATTTCCAAAAGGCATTTTTTAAATCTTTGTTTCGCAGACTAAAAATGATGGGGCTCAGGAAGGGGGTGAAGACAGTGTAAGACACATCAATCAGAACACTAGCTCCTGCAGCACGGGGTGACTGGTGTTTCAAATAGATGACAGAGGCACAGCCATAGTGCACCACCACTACGGTGATGTGGGAGGCACAGGCGGAGAAAGCTTTGTGCCTCCCCTTGGCTGATGGCATCTGCAGGATCCAGCCAAGGATAAAGGCGTAGGAGAGAAGGATGAACAGAAAGCATCCCAACAAGGCAGTAATGCAAAAGATGCCAACTACAGTGCCAACCACCTCGCCACCAGCACAAGCCAGCTGGAGTATGGGGGGCACATGGCAGAAGAAGTGGTCAATGCGGTGGGACTGGCAGAACGGTAACTGGAACACAGCGCTGGTCACCAGCAGCCCCAGGAGACCACCCCCTGCCCATGAGGCAGCCACCAGCTGGGTGCAGGCTCGGGAGGTCATCACGGTGCTGTAATGCAAGGGCTGACAGATCGCCACGTACCGGTCATATCCCATCACCGTCAGGAGGAAAGAGTGCGTGAATCCAAACATGAAGGAGAAATGCATCTGTGCAGCGCAGCCCAGGAAAGAAATGGTTCTAGTTCCCAGCACTAATCCGGACAGCATCTTTGGGATGATGGAGAAGGTATAACAGATTTCTGAGAAGGACAGAGCACTTAGGAAAAAATACATGGGCATGTGCAGCTGCTGATTCAGCCTGATAACAAACATTATCATAATATTTCCAACTAGGGTCACCACGTGCATGAGGAGAAACAGCACAAACAGCACAGCCTGGAGTTTAGGAAAGTAGGAAAACCCAATAAAAACAAACCCTGGTGGAACGGTTTGATTCTCCCTTCTCATTTGTGCTTTGTCTGAGAAGAGCACAAGAAGAGCAATATTTTAACAGCAGCAGCTGTATCTTGGTGTGAGGACGGCAGTGGTGAAGATTTTGAGCATTCCCCTTTCTCTCTGCACTCTCAGTCCTATGCCGAGCACAGCATGCCTTTTTGTTCTCCACTGCTGCTTGCCTTCAAGGGTTGTGCTGCATTAGCTAAAGGAGTACACTGGCCTATCGGTGTGCAGCAGCACTGATTGCAGCTGGAAAAGAAAGAAGAGAACAGAAGTGGCATTAGTTCCTCAGCAGGCTTAGGGCACACTGCACACAAGGGAGAAGTGAGGATTTCTTACTGGCATTCATCCAGGGAGGAGCAGAATTGAACCCTGGCCACCATGGGCTGCAGCTCCAAGGGCTTTGCATGGACTGAGAGGGATGAACCTACCTGCAGACACCTCAGGCAGACAGCTCACCCTCCCTCCCGCTCTCTCCCGAGATGTTTTGACCTTGTTCTCTCCTAGGATCTGCACCCACTTGTAGCTAACCATGGGTCTTGATGGAGAGGACAAGGGTAGTCGCCTGATTTATCCTGAGCTGTAATGAAAGCGTCTTTCATCTCATTAGCAGATCTGGGCATGGTTAAGGGAAGAGCAGCACTGTTCAGCACTCCCACAGGACTCTAGGAGAGTCAACCGAGCTGTATCTTAAGGGGAAACTTGTCTCACCTGCCTCTGGATGTCCACCATTCACGTATGTGTCTTTTTCTCCTAGATGGGGACAGACATTTCTTGCGATGTCTGATCACATCAGTCTTTTACCTTCAGAGGGTGTGACCCGTACTGCTCCAGGGGTGCTCGTGCTCCAGGAGGTGCAGCTCCGGGGATGCCTAGAGACATTGGTGGTGCTGGAAATTGGGGGAGATGCCATTTGATGTGATGGCCTTGGAACTGTAGGGATACCTTCCTAGAGCTGTGTTGTTTCAAGGTGCCCCCCTAACACGGATGGCATGTGTGGGGTGGTCTTGATCTCAGTGAGAACAGTGGGATATTACCCTGGCTTCTTCAAACAAGGTCTGACCCAGGCTTTAACACAGGACCGCACCTGCACTGTCGGCTCCCAGCTCTGTCCCGTTCGCTGGACATTTTGCACTGCTTGAGTTTTTAATGCGTCGTTAACCACAAGTCAGTGCAATCCCGGATCAGACAAGACGCAGCAAGAAAGGGTGAGGAAAATACCTTTAAAACTTCCTCCAAGTCAATGTCTCCTCCTGCTGCTTTTGACCCGCCGGCTGCAGGAGGAAGAGGTGTTCACTGACCTTCAGCAGGACTCTGCCGCCTGCCCAGGCAAGCATCTCCCTTGCACACCGATGAGGAGGTGATGAGCACTCACTCTCCCAGGAAGGACGGATGCACTGCACCACACTGCAGCCTGTCAGCCCCGTGATGACCCCGTGTGCCCCTTCTCTCTGTGCTCAGCCACAATCATGGCTTTACAGAGGGTCTTAGCTTGTGGGCACCCCCGGTGGATTGAGCACCGTTATCCAGGGCAGGATTCTGCTTGGCTCTTACCTGCAGGCAGCGCAGGTGCCAGGCTGGCAGCGGGGGCTGCAGATCTCCTTCTCTCTTGGTGCAGGAATGGAGGGAGGAGTAGGAGCTCAGCCCCTGTCCCTCTTCCCCACTGCAAGCCTGGCACTGGGGCTTGAAGAAACAGGCTGGGGAGGTGGAGACTCGGCTCCCTCCTTCGTGCCTCCTGAGGGGAAGCATCCCACAGGAGGCCACGTTGTCAGGAATCCCAACACGTAGCCAAACAGAGGTCAGTGCAGTGCAGCCCTGGATTTTTAAGCAGCAGTTAAACATCTGCATGGGAAGAGGGTCTGGAGCTCTCCTCAGAAAGAAGCACAGGACTGTGCTCAAATAGCCCAGCTCGGAGGTGCCGTCCCCCATCTCTTGCCGTCTCCCCAACCCCTCATCACACAGAGCACCAGGCACTCTGCCTGCAAGGCCCGGGTCTCTCTGGGGTGGCACAGGGCCACTCCTTGTGTCTGAGGTCATTTAATACTTCGTTTTAGGACTACTTCTGAAAAACGCAATAAGAGACCCAAATCACAAGGGGGGGTTCTCACAGCTGTTTGTCTGGGCGACTCAGTACTACAGTGGAAATCCATGGATGGGCAGGCGAATCAGGCCTCTTCAGTTTCCCTCTCCTGCCATAAGGTTAGGATTCAGCGCACCTAACTCCAGAAGTCTTGCCTGGAAGTATCTCCACCTGGGCTAGATCCCCAGGTCCTCAGCCAGGTGGGAAGGCCTCGGCAGGGGACCATGGGCACACCTCCCTTCGTTCCACAGCAGGGTAGGATGCGGAGGACCTCATGTCCCTGTGCTGACTGTGTAGGGCGTGTGGGCGACCAGCTCATAAACAGACCATGTGCACAGAACAAGCCTCTGGACAGGGAGAATGCCATGGCAATCAGCATGTTACCCAGGGAGGAATATTAGCCAGATTTGTAGAGCTTAGGGATATTGATATGGTTTAGTGGGGACTGTTAGCGTTAGGTCAGAGGTTGGACTCAACGATCTTGAGGTCTCTTCCAACCTAGAAATTCTGTGATTCTGTGATTCTGTGATCACAAATACCTCCAGTATCGGCGAGAATATCTACTCAAGCTCTCTGGGACTGGGTTTAGTTATCCAGTGCCCTGCTAGGAATAGGACATCCTGACAACTTCTCCAAGGTTGTCACAGAATCGTAGAATCGTAGAAACATAGGGTTGGAAAGGACAACCTTTCAAGATCAAGATCACCTAGTCCAACCGTCTTCCTATCACCAATACTACCCACTAAGCTACTAAATCCTATCTCGTTAAGACCAGCTCCATTCCAGCGAGTGGTCCTTGGAAGGTGCATTCATCACTACGCCACCTTTACCGTAGACTTCATGGACAAATGACAGCATTGCTCTGTGAACCCCCCCACTGCCCAAACCTGCAGGACAGAGCTGAGAGGGAGCTGTAGGAGCTGGGCTGAGCTCCAGTCCTTCCCCTGGAACCACAAGAAATGGATTCCCCAAAGAAGGGACAGCAGCGTAGAACAAGATCTGGGCCACTGCTCATGGACAGTCCCTCTGCAAATATCTTCCTCTGACAAAAATATATAATGGGAACGAGCATGCCGAATGCACATGTGGGGTGCCAGTCTTTTTTAGGGGTGATACAAAGAGCTGGGGAAATATTTATCATCGCAGCATGCAGGGAGCAAGCGGTTCTTCCTGAGCAGCCTCCGGCTGGGTCAGCAAGAGCAACACTGGACTGTGACGCTGTTGGTTAGCCCCGGTAGGCAGCTAAGCACCACACAACCACATCCCGTGGCACTGAGGAGAGAAGGAAAGCAACCAAAGTTGTGCGTTGAGATAAAAATTCTTAAGCAAAGGAAAAGTGGAAGAAGAAGGACACACAGCACCATAGAAGCTGCTGTGAAGACAAAGAAGTCCTTCCCAGACAGACTCAGTACAGAAGCGTTGCAAGATTTTGTCACATTTACAAATGGGTAACGCTTAAATCTTGATTCGGGAATGATTTGCTCTATAAAAGATTTTATTGATTCATTTATTTGCTTAGGACTGTTTGCTTATTCCCCTGGTAAGAAGTTAGTCTGGTAGATGGCACTGGACCAGGTTGCCAGAGAAGCTGTGGATGCCCCATCCCTGGAGGTGTTCAAGGCCAGGCTGGGTGGGACTTTGGGCAGCCTGATCGAATGGGAGATGTCCCTGTCTGTGGCAGGGGGGTTGGAGTTAAATTATCTTTAGGGTCCTTTAGGATTCTGCAATTCTGTGGATGAAATGGCATTAAATACCTTGCTGAGAAGCAGCATCCAACAGCTGAGTCTCTGGACCAGAGAACTGACATTCCCATTAGCTGTCTGCAGCTGGGGGTGTCTGCCTCTCACCTTACTTTATGGTTAGAAACCACGTGCCCCTGCATTTGGAGTCAAAACTTTGTCCCCCATAGCCCCTTGCCTTTCATACTTGGTGTTTGTTTTCTCTCAGTTTCAGTGACAGAAGGAAATTACGATTAGAAATCCTACAGCCCATGGAACCACCAGGGATAAAAGTCGGCTCCATACCAGTGGGGTTCTCTGGGTCAGGGCTTTGTTTTGTCCTCTGCTGCTCAGTGGAGGGAAGGATCACGACAGCTTACGGGATCCCCCATGGCCTCAGGGCTGCCTACGGCTGCAAATGGGACCCCAGAAGGGACTGGCCAAGGCAGCACCTTCCTGACCACCTTCTTGGTGGCTGAGATGCCTCTGATGGCCTTCCTCAAGGCCCGTGGTGGAAGGTGCCGTAATGCTGGTGCCAGCCAGGGACAGCAAGAAATCTGTGTCGCAGCCAGCATGAAGCAGCACCCACGTGCCAAGGACCAGGAGGGGTCCCTGAGCAGCCCCTGCAGATGCAAAATTATCTGAGGAGCCATTCTGCAACCGCATTATGGAAACCCTTAACTAGGACTTGGTGCAGGAAGACATTAAACAAGGGAAGCACTTGGCTGGTTTGATTTTGATGAACAGAAAGGAGAAGTTTTTCCTTCTGCAAGCTGTTGGGTTCTTGCTGTGTGGGTGAAATGCTGTTCCTTCACCACCTATAGCTTGAATCATTTTTGCAGGTGCGTCTTCCTTATGCAATCCTTTCTTTTTTTTTTTTCTGCCCGAACATGGACTCAAGTTGCTGGTGCTGGTGCCTGATTTTCACAGTGCCCTTTGTAAAGCACCCCACCAAAGGCCACCCGAAGTTCCCAGGTACCTGCCGGGGTTGTGGCACCCTGCCTGCCATTCTCCACTCCACCTCCTATTTGCTGCATGTTCTGATTCTAGACCCACAAAAAAAAATGAAGGTCTAATGGCTTAAAAGAAAAACACTGAAGCAACAGGATTACATACAAGAATATCCTCTGTGGGGGGGGAATGCTGGCACAAAAAGGGCTCTCTATGACAAGCAGCTGCAGTTTTGCCAGGTTAAATCCAGACAATGCAAGACTTCACAACCTCGCTGGGCAACCTGTGAGGAATGTTTGGAATGGAAAGCTGAGTATTTCCCTTGGGGGAAACGTTGACCCCAAAAAGGCTCTTTGCTCTGTGGCGACGCAATTCTGGGAGGTTAAAACAAGAAAAGTCGCAACGTGACACGCAAAGCTTTGGAGGAAGCCTGCCCGTTACACGGTGACCAACCCTAGAAATAAAAAGTCCTCAAGATCTCTGCTTGGGAGGTCACTGGTAGCTCACGGCTGGGCTGCTGAGGCACATCTTGGGCAATCTCATGGATGGAGAGAGGGGAACACTTGACTGTATGTGACAGCAACTATAGGAGACGGAGCACGGTTTTATAACCCAGCCACGAAGTCTTTACCTCCTGAAAAAACTTCCTTTCCTGGGTTTTCTAACCCCACTTTTTCAGCTGGCTCCGTTGATCCAGAGAAGAGGCCGTCGTTTTGGAGGAAAATCCTGCTCTTCCAGAGATCTTGGTCATTTATTTTTCTAGGAGAGCTCTTCCTGGAGGTCCCCTTCAAAGGACATCTTTGTTCTCCCTGGGGTTGCTGGACGCATTTTGCAAGTGTCTGAGGGCTGACGTTCGTGCTCAGCTTCACACAGGCCAGAAAATGCAGCAGCTGAGATTTGGTTCCTGACCGTGTGAGTGAAGTCAGCCCATAGCAAAGGGCTTCCAAATTTGGGTTTCCAAATTTAATAATAATAATAATGATAATGATAATGATAATAATAATGATAATAAATAAATAAAAAATAATAAAAATAAATAATAATTATTATTATTAAATAATGATAATGATAATGATAATGATAATGATAATAATAATAATAATAATAATAATAAAGATTTCATTGAATTTTGTATTTCCAATCTCAATGGGACCGGAATTTGTTGATTTTCTCTGTGTCGTGGGTTTAATTGGCAAGGTTTTGGTGGCAGGGGGCCATAGGGGTGGTTTCTGTGAGAAAGATCTAGAAGCTGCCCCATGTTTGGGAAGCCCCCTCCCCCCCTCAGTGCCCCCCCCCCAAACTGAGGCGGCTCCTCCCCCGCTTTACAATAATAACTTTATTTATTTTAACATCTTTAATTACAGACAGTAAAACCGCCCGGCCTGGGGCGGGGGGGGGGGGACACACACAGCCGGGGGGCACGGCCCCCCCCCCCCATTGCTTATCAGGGGGAGCAGCCCCCCTCCGGGGGGGGAGGGAGGAGATCCCAGCAGCCCCCCCCCCCCAAGTGCCACCCCCCCCTCCCCAGCGCAGCCCCCAAACTGGGAGCACTGGGAGGAGGTGGGGGGGGGGAGGGGAGAAATAAATACAATCTTCCAATATATTAAAAACGCCCTGGGGGGGGGGAGGAGGAGGTGCGGTGGGGGCGGGGGGGGTGAGGGGGGGCACCCCTGGGTGCCGCGGGGGGGTCACATCATGCCCAGCTGCAGCAGGGTGTTGGCGTACATCATGGGCTTGACATTGGGGTGAGGCTGGGGGGGGGGGAAAAGGAGAAAAAATGGGGTTGGGGGGCCCAGGGGGGGCACCCCTGAAACTGCCCCCCCCTTCCCCAAATCCCACCCCTCCTTTGCACCCCCCAAAGTCACCCCCAAGCCCCCGACTTCCCCCAAAGCCCCCCCCATAGCCTCCCACTCCCCCCAAACCCCCCCCATAGATCCCCATTCCCCCCGACCCCCCCCCCATAGCTCCCTCTAGACCCCCCCACAGCCCCTCAAAGCCCCCCCCATGCCCACAAACCCTTCTGTGCCCCCATCGCCCCCCCCGCCTGCTTACGACCCCCATGAGCATCCCCCCCCCCCCCCCCCCCAAAAAAAAAAATCACCCCAAGCTGGGAAAAGGAGGGAGAGGGGGGCTGGAAATTTTGGAGGGGGTCGGGGGGATTTTGGGGGAATTTTGGTTACCGGGGGGGGTCTCAGATTTGGGGCCCCCCCCCAAAACTCACCACTGCTGTGAACTGGTGGAAGTCAGGGCGCAGGTCGCCGCCTCGCAGGTGGATGTAGGAGCCCATATTGCCCATCTGGTCACTGCGGGGGGGGGACACAGAAATTGGGGGACACCGAGAGGACCCCGCAGAGGGGGGGCTGCGAGGCCGAGAGGTGCTGGGGGGGGGGGGGGGGGGCACGAAACCCAACCAAACCCCCAAAAAATAGGGACACGAGGACACGGGATGGGGACTCCGCCACCCCCCTGGGCAGCCCATCCCAATCCTAATATCCGTAATCCAGGGGTCCTGATATCCATAATCCAGGGGTCCTGATATCCATAATCCAGGGGTCCTAATATCCAAAATCCGGGGGTTCATAACATTCATAATCTGCGGTCCTAATATCCATAATCTGGAGGTCCTAAAATCCATAATATGGGGTCCCAACATCCATAATCCGGGGGTCCTAATACCCATAACTGGGGGTCCTAATACCCAATATCCGGGGGTCCTAAAATCCATAATATGGGGTCCTAACATCCATAATCCGGGGGTCCTAACATCCGTAATCTGGGGGTCCTAACATCTGTAATCTGGGGGTCCCAACATCCGTAATCTGGGGTCCCAACATCCGTAATCCGGTTTTTAACCCAATTAAGAAGTCCCAGCCGAGAACAGCCCCTTTTTTTGAGGACAAAACTGCGGGAAACGGTGCCAAAACCCTTCCCAAAACCAAGGACTCCACGCCCGCAGCCTTTCCCTCAGCCACCCAGCCCCTCGCTATCCCGGGAGGAGCTCGGGGGTCTCCGCGGGTCCCCCCGGAGCTGGAGGGGGGGGTGGCACAGCCCCCCCAGTGCCACTCACCAGTAGTTGGGCGCGGAGAAGACGGTGACACACTTGCCATCGTGGGCCACCTCGTAGCCCTCGGGCTTGACCTCGTGGCTCCGGATGATGTAGTCGAGGCGGTTGCGCTCCAAAAAACTTTTGGTGACGTCTGGCCCGAATTGGCAGCTCACCCCCCTCTTGCTGACCGAGCGCCCGTTCTGGAAAAAGGGGGGGGGGGGGCGTCACCGTCACAGCCCCCCTTCCCCCTCCCAACCAAGGGTTATTTTGGGGGGACCGAGCCCCGAGGTTGTAGGGTGGGGATCGACTCACCTGCGGCTGCGGGTCCGACCACAGCAGGTCGCACATGGGACCTGCAGGGGGGGTGTAGGGTTAGGGACCCCCCCCCCCAAAAACCCCACAGCGGCTGGGGGGGGGGGGATACAGGGGACACCCCCCCCTAAGCCCCGAGTCCCACCTGAGTCTGGGGGCTGCCGGTTCCTCTCGATTTTGCGGATGTCGTCGAGGGTGACGCCGTCCTCGCTGAAGAGGCCGCCGTGCATGATCTGGGGGGGGGCAGGCAGGTGGGCACAGGGACACCCCCAGACCCAAATGGGGACAGCCCCCCCCCCCGAACCCACACAGGGACACCCCCAGCCCACACGGGGACAGCCCCCTGGATCCAAACGGGGATGACCCGAATGGGGACAGCGCCCAGACCCAAATTGGGATGCCCCCACCCCACACAGGGACAGCCCCCCAGGACCCACATGGGGACACCCCCAACCCAAACAGGGACAACCCAAATATGGACACCCCCCAGGACCCTGACCCCTACAGGGACATCCCCCAGACCCACACGGGAACAGCCCCCCAGATCCAAACTGGGACACACCAGACCAACACAGGGGAGGCCCCCAACCCACACAGGGACAGCCCCCCCAGACCCTAACCCAAACAGGGACGCCCCCAGGACCTACACGGGGACAGCCCCCCCAGACCCCGACCCGAACAGGGACAACCCCAGACCCACACAGGAACAGCCCCCCCAGCCCCAAATGGGGACAGCCCCCCCAGGACCCTACACAGGGACACCCAATGCCCCCCCACCCACATGGGAACAGCCCACCTGGCCCCAAATGGGGACAGCCCCCCCAGGACCCAACATGGGGACACCCAATGCCCCCCCACCCACACAGGAACAGCCCCCAGCACCCCAAATGGGGACAGGCCCCCCAGGACCCCACACGGGGACACCCAATGCCCCCCCACCCACACGGGAACAGCCCCCCAGACCCAAATGGGGATGACCCCTGGGCCCCAAATGGGGACAGCCCCCCCAGACCCCGACCCCAACAGGGACAACCCCAGACCCACATAGAAACAGCCCCCCCAGCCCCAAATGTGGACAGCCCCCCCAGGACCCCACACGGGGACACCCAATGCCCCCCGCCCACCTGGGGACAGCCCCCCCGGCCCCCCCGGGGTGACCCACCAGCACTTTGCCGTTGATGCACTGGGCCAGGGGCAGCCACTCGAAGACCTCGCTGAAGAGGGCGAACATCTGCGCCGTGTACTTGGCCTTCACCTCCCCTTCGAAGCCGTAAATCTGGTTCATGTTGTCCGTCTCGTGGTTCCCTGGGGGGACACGAAGCGGGGGGGCCCCCAAAATCAGCCCCGAGGATTAGGGACACGCCGGGCAGCCGGGACAGGGGGCGAGGCGCTGAGGATGTGGGATGGGGCACAGCCAGGGGGAGCGGGGCCTCTCGGTGGAGGACGGGGACGTGGGGCAAGGACGAGGCACCAGTGACATCGGCTCAGGGAATCCTGGGGATGGGGCAGCCCCAGGATGTCCCCCAAAAGGGACACGGGGCATGGCGCTGCGGCAGGGGACATGTGGCAGCCCTACAACCAAGGACAGGGGACGAGGCCCCAAAACCTGGCCCCAAAACCCAGGACAAGGGGCAAGTCCCCAAAATCCAGCCCCACAACCAAGGACAGGGAACGAGTCCCCAGAACCCAGGACAGGGGACAAGTCCCCAAAACCCAGCCCCACAACCAAGGACAGGGAATGAGTCCCCAAAACCCAGGACAGGCGACGAGTCCCCAAAACCCATCGCTGCAGCCAAGAGCGGGGCACACAGCCTTGTGGCCCCAGGCATGGGACCCAATCCCAGGATGTGGGGACAAAACCCCACAGCCAGGGCTGCTCAACGTAACCCCACAACCTGCCCCATCACACCCAGCACCCGTGGTGGCCCCGTTACCTCGCAGCAAGTGGAAGTGATCGGGGTAGAGCAGCTTGAAGCCGAAGAGCGTGAGGATGACCTCGACCGAGAAGGAGCCGCGGTCCACGAAGTCCCCGTTGAATATCTGCGGCTGGTTCAGGAAAAAAAAACAAAAAACTTTTCCCCCTTTTTTTTTTTTTTCCCCCCTTTTCCCCACCCCACCCCGCCACGTCCCCTCGGCCGGGGGGGGATACGTAGGGGTTGGACTCAGAGGGAGAAACCCCTGCGGGGGGACATGGACCCCCCCTCTGGGGTGGGGTGACACCGTGTGTGTGTGGCCCCATGTCCCCCCCCCCGTGTCCCCGCAGGGCATGGCGGAGCTGCACGTCATCAGGCAGCTGGTGGGGGCCAGCAGCTTCCTCCAGCGCAGCCTCTTTTGCAAGTGGGGGCTGCACGCCGGTGAGGGGGGGGCACAGGGTGACAACAGGTGACAACATCGACGTCCACTACGTCACCAAGGGCCTGCAAGGTGCGTCCCCAGAGTGTCCCCATATTGTCCCCAGGGTGTCCCCAAATAGCTCCCAAGGTGTGTCCCCAAATAGCCCCCAAGGTGTCCCCAATGTGCCTCCAGATTGTCCCCAAATTATCCCCAGAGTGTCCCCAAAGTGTCACAAAATAGCCCCCAAGGAGGGGGCTCCCCTCTGGAGCTCTCCTCAGGCCCTCCCCCCGGTACTCCCCGTCGGGAGCCCCCTGAGCACCCCCAGAGCCTTCTGAGCACCCCCAGAGCCCTCCTTAGGGCTCTCCCCTGCACTCCCGCATCCCTTGGGAGCTCTTTGACCACCCCTGAAGCCCTCTGAGCACCCCCAGACCCCTCTGAGCATTCCCAGAGTCCCCAAAGCCCTCCTCAGGGCTCCCCCCATTACACCCCCTGCCCCTCAGGAGCCCCCTGAGCACCCCCAGAGCCCTCCTCAGGACTCCCCCCTGCACCCCCACATCCCTCGGGAGCCCTTTGACCACCCCCGGAGCTCTCTGAGCACCCCCAGAGCCCCCTGAACACCCCCGAAGACCCTCTCAGGGTTCCCCCCATTACCCCCCCACCCCTCAGGATCCCCCTGAGCACCCCCAAACCCCTCCGAGCATCCCCAGAGCCCCCTAAGCCCCCCCGTAGCCCTCCTCAGGGCTCCCCCTGTTACCTTCCTGTCCCCTCAGGAGACTGCTGAGCATCCCCAAACCCCTCCGAGCACCCCCGGAGCCCTCTGAGCACCTCAGGAGCCCCATAAACCCCTATAGCCCCCCCTCAGGGCTCCCCCCGTTTCCCCCCCGTTCCTCAGGAGCCCTGTGAGCACCCCCAGACCCCTCAGAGCACTCCCGGACCCCACCCCCTCGGCCCCCCCCACGCCCCTCGGAGCCTGGCCCCGACCCCATCTCCCTCCCGAGCCCCCCCCCCCCCCAGGCGGCCCCCACCTGGCAGCCACAACTTGGGGCGCAGCAGCACCTCCAGCGTCGCCCTCTCGGGGCTCTCCTTTGAGCCCCGCACCTCCGCGGGGCCGTACAGCCCGGCCAGCACCAAGGTGTCACCTGCGCGAAGGGGGACACAGAGGGGACGGCACTGCCACCGGGCCCCGAAAAACCCCGGGGACAGAACAATAATGGATGATGCTCAGAGGGCCTTACGGGGCGAGTGAGCTTTCCAGAAACACCTTTTACCCTGATCTCCTGGGAGGCAGCAGAATTCTCCATGGGTTGGGTCAGGCCGGCATATGCGGCCCTCTGTTCTGCTCAGAAGGGAGTCACTTATGACAGTAACCCTTCTCTTCTTCTTGATGGAGGTGGTCGTGATACTGGGGAAGGCTGACTTGCCCTAGAAAACCCCTCCAACCTGGATGGACCTTCATGCACATCATCGTTTGTGTGTCCATTACTTCCAGAGTCTGTTGTTTCAGGGCACCTGAAAGGAAGGTGAGGTAGGCAAGGAGGGGTTCGCCTGCTGCCCCGAGCAGATCTAAACTTCCATCCCTTCATCACTGAGATGCACTCCTTCTGCCTGATGGCCAGAGGGTAGGGGATCCTCCATTTCCTCTGCTGTGTCTGCCTGACGCATCTGTCCCAGGGCTGGCAGAGTACAGTTCAACCTTCTCCGACTCCCTGGTGCTCCTCAGCCTGCCCACCTCCTCCCGAAGCTCTGCCAGGAGGCTGAGCAGTTCTTCTACCTGGGCGCACCTACCACAGGTGGACTCACAGGATGGGATGTCAGGGAGAATTTCTTCATGCAAAGGGTGGAACCGGCTGCCCAGGGCACTGCTGGAGTCCCAGGCCTGGAGCTATTAAAGAAATGCGTGGACTTGGCGCTAAGGGCCGTGGTTTTGTGGTGGGCCTGGTGGTGTTAGCTGAAACTTGGACTTGAGCTGAAGGCCCTTTTCCAAGCGCAAGGGTTCTGTGACTCTTTCACTGGTTGAGTAGGCGCCATGCAGTCACCGGGCCCAGGGAAAAGACGTCCTTGGTGGCCTCCAAGTTAGCTCAGCGTCATGGCACCGAGTCACTGTGAAGGAGCTGCTGGAATAACGAGACAACAACCTAGTTCTATTAAAATATATATTGCTCTTTTGAGGACTGCTGCGGGGCTAGCGGCAGCAGCACCACGGCAGTGGAAATCTCCGTCCTGACACTGCGTTATGCATTGACGCCAGGATCACGGTGGTTTCAACTGCCAGGGAATGGACCATGGGTTCCGGGTCTTTCTCTAAAGGCTGGAGGACTGCAAAAAAAAGAAGAGCAGAGATGAAAACCCACTCCTTGCAGAGATCCCCAGGCATCCCCTGCAGACCATGCCAGCCCCACTCGACTCTTCCCCAGGCCAGGAGGAGCAGGAGGGACAAAGGAATCCATTGAAAGCTGCTGCTCAGCAGTGTCCCAAATGCAGCCACCAGGCCTTCCCCACCTGCGCACCACAGGTCAAGTGGGGCACCTTCACAAGCTGGTTCCCTCACCACCTGCCTCCATCCCTTGGGAGGATTCACACACTCCAGGAATCTCCTGGACTCTTTCCTCTCGCTATTGTGCTTCCCCATGAGAGCAAGGGCTAGCAATCGTGACCCTGCTCCTAGCTGCTTGTAGGCTGTCTCATCTCCCTCTTCGTCCTGGTTGCGTGCTCTACAACAGGCTCCCACCTTCTGTCAGCCTTACTGCCCTTTCCCTTGACTCTTCCTCAGGGACACTCAACCCTTTCAGCGGCACTGCCCAGCTCCAGGCTGGGAGGCCATTCCCTGACACCGCAGGCTACCCCGTCTCCTCTCCCTCGTTCCTATGGCTGCATTGCTCCTCCGCCCCGAAGCATTTCCCTGGAGCAGGGCAAGGCACGGGGGCCTCTGCCGCTGTCCCCCCAGCCCTAGCACACCCCCCACTGCCCTCACTCACCGCTGAGGATTTCATTCAGCTTCTCCTCGCTCTGGTCCTCGCAGTAGCGCGCAGCAAGACCTAGACACAGAGATCCCATCAGAGCCCCGCTCCCCAGCACGCTCCCAGCAGCACAGCCCCTGGCCTGGCCAGCCAGGCTGTGCCCCCTCCTGCACCCTGGAGCAAGGGCCCAGTCGGGGGGCTCTGGGGGCAACAGGGCTGTGCCTCACTGCCAGGGCAGTGCCTGGGGCTGCCAAAGGCTGCCCCAAGAGGGACCCAGGGGCTGGGCTCACCAATGAATCTGACGGCCTCAAGTCGCAAGTTGGTCTGAGTGGCCTTCAGGTAGGGCTGGCTCTGCTGCAGGTATTCTTCTACTCTGCCTCTGTCCTGCTGCAGCTGGAGAGAGAGAGAACGCAGGGTCACGGGGCTTGCACACCCTCTCCAGGGTCTCCTCCAGCATCCTGGGGGCAGGGAGGGCAGAGGGGCCTGCAGAAGAGCCCCCTGGGGCTCTGTGCTGGCAGGAAGGGAGCGAGGATGCGGCTGCAGGCAGCGGGCTCTGGCCGGGCGCGTTTGCCCAGCTGGGGCAAACCAAGTTGGGTCCTTACCAAGCACTCCCCAATCCTCCACGTCTGTTCTGTCTGGGCCAAGCGCTTCAGCTCCTTGCGTCGCAGAAACTCTGCAGCCACGGCAAGAGCTTCCCCAGAGGCCTGCGGAGCAGCAGAGGTTGGGAGGTAGCAGCACAGCCTTGGGAAGGAGACCCTCTGTCCCCTCCTCTTGGCAGGGCTGCGAGCCTTTCCCAGTGCGTTAGGGGAGGCTGTGGTGGGGGGCAGCGTGCACTGGGTTCAGTGGCCAAGGCAAGGCCACGGGACAGCCACCATCGGAGGCAGCTCATGCTGCCGGCCAGAGAACCCCAGAGCAACCCTGTGGCATCAGCACACCCTTGCCCACATAACTGCTCAGCTCTGAGATCTGTACCTTTGCTACGCTCTCACTCTGGTCTCTCGTATGAAAGTAGAGTGGGAGAAGTCTCCTGTGCACTGTTCTCTCCATGTTCTTCGTCCTTTGCCACAGCACACCCTCCACCACGGCTTGGAAGAGGCAGATGGAGTGCTCCCGCACCTGGCTGGACGCCTGGCAGGGAGGAGGACAGGAGGAATTTCAGCATTAGCGTGGCCGATGTGAAGGGAGCTCCCAGCACTGTGAGATGCTTCAGCGCTGGATCCTTCCCAGAGGAGCTGCTCACGGGCAGCTGCAAGGCCTGGTGCCCGTGAAGGGCAACGCAATCGGTTGCCATCGCAGGCTGCCCGCCAGCCACCCCACTTTCGCCACCAGCCGCACCAGCCATGCCCCAGCAGAGCTCCCCAGCGCCTGGGCTGACGAGGAGACTGGGAAGGCCCTGCCTGAGTGCTGCCCACAGGGCCGGGCTGAAGGGCAGCCCTCGTTACAGGGGGCCCAGCTGAGAGCTCGGGCTCCCGCAGCACACTTACGTGGTCAAAGAGTGGCAGGAGCTTCTCAGCCAGCTGCAGAGCCAGGCCACCGTACTTCCACCTCTCCACATGAGCCACCACGTTTCTCAGCACAAGCAGGGCCTCCAGCACCATGTCTGGGTTGGTGTCCTGCAGGGCCTCCAGGATGTCTGGCAGCAAGACCTGAATTTCCCTTGCCTGTAGGAAAGACACCATTTCCCTTCCGTGAGGCAGTGAGAGATCACCCTGGGCAAAGGGCTCTGGTTCCTGAGCACCAGCCTCCTGCCTTGCTTCGTGGCAGCGGGGAGGGACGGGAGGGCAGAAGAGCAAAGCCCCAGGCTGCCAACATGGCTTTGCTTGACGATGGCCCGCTCACCTTCTTAGGGCTCTCTGACACGGTGCAGAGCCCTTTCAGAACCATCAAGCGCATCTCTGGGCTTGGGTGCCTCAGGTAGCTCTGGAGGTGCACTGGGTTACCAAAGTCCTCCAAAAAAATGTGATTCTGGGCCAGTATCTGCAAGAAAGAGCAGTGAGAGCCTGGCAGGGCCCCCTGCAGCCTCTTCTTCTCCCACCTTTGGGCAGGGATGGGGCAGCGCCAGCTGGCACCAAAGAGGCACCAGGCGCGGGGAGCTACGGGG